TTGAGTTTTTGTCAGGATCTAATTTTTCTTTTTCTAACTCTGGCACACAAATTATAGGAAGGGCGGAGCATTAAATTTGAAAAGTTGTTTGATGCACTATTCCCAATACAATCCCCATATAAAGTTTATAATTTACACTGAAATTTTGCCGGTAATTGAATATTTTGCATTAAATGTGAATCTGGTTCCTGGCCTCCGAAATTCCCCGCAGTGGAAGAGCGGCTCGGAGCATGGAACTTCAAAGCCAAGTGGAATGTTACACATCCCATTGTTACGCTTTAGAACTCACGCATGCGTTTGAATAAATTACAAGATTTTCCACTCCTTCTTTATCACCTCCCTGTTGCATGTAGGAATTCTAAATCCTGATATTTCATGCGCTCTATATCTCACCGCCTGGTCAACTGTGGTTGCAGATTAGCGCATAACTTTTCAGCGGCTTGGAGCATGGGGTCAAAGGAGAGTATCTTGATTCCACTCCTTCTTGAGCACCTCTCTGCTACATGTGTATAAAACACGGTCAAAATGTATTTTGAACAATTCATTTATTAGTTAATGTGATTTTGCCTTACTGTAAGATCCCTCACCTTGATCGTTTATACGGGCCATCACTATTTTACCTTACCACAATGTGCACAATTCATCATTTTAAACCTTGCAATGTGCACGATTCATCATTTTAGACCTTATAATGTGCACCATTTATCATTTTAAACCTTGCAATGTGCACCATTCATCATTTTAAACCATATAATGTGCACCATACATTTTAAACCTTACAAAGTGCACCATTCATCATTTTAAACCTTATATTGTGCACCATTCATCATTTTAAACCTTATAATGTGCACCATTCATCATCTTAAACCTATACAATATGCACCATTCATCATTTTAAACTTTACAATGTGCACCATTCATCATTTTAAACCTTATAAGGCGCACCATTCATCATTTTAAACCTTGCAATGTGCACCATTCATCATTTTAAACCTTATAGTGTGCACCATCCATCATTTTAAACCTTATAGTGTGCACCATTCGTCATTTTCAAACCTTGCAATGTGCACCATTCATCATTTTAAACCATATAATGTGCACCATTCATCATTATGAATTTATATGCAGACAATACTTCCAAATCCTCAATTAAAAATATACACTGTGTAAAACGACAATGGACATCTATCTGGCGATTACATAATTTCTTTGCTGTTTATAATATTGTCTGCTAGTTAAAATGTATCTACTATTTGCCAAGACTTGAATTATTGACGCAGAGAATAACTTTATATTGACATTTGAAATCCTGCATTGTTCATATCATACACTGTGTATTACAATTTACCTATACAAAGGATGTTACATAATTTCAAATCTGTTTGTGTATAAGCAAATTATGAATTATGCAATTTTTTTACTTTACTGCAGGCTGCTTTTTTATAAAATGAAGTAAAATTGTACATTCAAATGTTTTTACTTCTTTTTTTCTTCTTTAATATTACTTCGTCATAAAATGTAACGGAAGTATAGTTGTGCTGTACATTACAATGTTGTTTTTTTTTAAAAATTTTTACTGTCCTTATTGTTTTTACTTCTCCATAGAATGTAACGGGAATAAAGTTGTGCTGTACATTTCAATGTTTTTACTGTTGTTTTTTTTTTTTTTTTACTTCTTCATAAAATGGAAATGTAGTAAGTTCGTGATGTACATTACAATGTTCTGACTGTTTTTACTTCTTCATAAAATGTAACTTATGTTAGTTGTGCTGTGCATTGTAATGTGTTTACTATTTTTACTTTTCATAAAATGTAACGAAAGTATAGTTGTGCTGTTTATTGCAATGTTTGAAAATAATGAAAAAATTGTCATGGTGCTTGCAAATAAAAATAAATTTCATTTCAACTGGGAATAAAATACATTGATTCATGGGAGAATTTTCTCCAGACTTTACTTGAGTACGAGAAGGCTACGGCTAGGGTTGTTACATGTTTGATAATTTAAGGATAAGGGTTTGTGTTGTGGTTTAAGGTGAGATTAACCGCGAGATATTATGTCTGGTCCGGATTTGAAGTTAAAAGCGAAGTCCACTCCAAAAAAATAATTTGCTTTTAATAGATGCAGAAAAACACGAGAAACAGAGCCACACAAAAGATGAGTAAAATCGGGTAACTAATAAGGAAGTTATGAAAAGCTATGGAACTTAGAAAATCACTACACAAATTGCCAATTTGGTTATCAGTTAGTGACGTCATTGCCTCACTATTTATCAATTTATATTTTTATCCCATTAATTTCCCTTTTAATCCCTTGATTTCCCCATGCCTTTGCCCAGGTCTTATGATTTATCGTGTGCATGACATTTCACAAAATATTTTATGAACTTGAAAATTGATACATGACCTAAGTTTGGCAGGAATCAATCAATCGGTTCTTGAGATAACGCGATCACGAGAACTGGACGTACGGACGGACGGACAACCCAAAAACACAATGCCTCCGACTACTTTGTACCGGAGGGATAACAATCAGCGAAGTTGTGTCGGCATTTTCATACGACAAACTAGAAAAGAAGAAGTAGAAGGAGAAGAAGAAGAGGATGGAAAAGGAGAAGAACAAGAATAAGAACAAGAGGAAGGAGAAGAGCAAGAAGAAGAACATCATCAATAAGAAAGAAGAACAAAAACGAGAAGAATAAGAACAACAAGAACAAGATTCAAGAAGAACAAGAAGAAAAAAAAAAGAAAAAGAAGAAGCTAATTTCATCCACATATGACACAAAACAAATGAAAATCACAATTGTTTGCATCAAAATACTATTTATTTCAAGACAAAGTATCATTCCCAAAAAACAGCAAAAAGACATTCACAGGTATACAAAATGATGTTGAGGTAATTATCTATATAAACAATTCAGGTTAACCTGAAGATCATTATCCAGATTCAGAATCTCGTTCTCTTTGAGAAAATATCATAGGCCAATCATGTTAAAATACAGTACAACTCTGGACTATAACAGCTCTTCTATTGAAGGGAAACACATATATAATGTACTAAATTGTTGTACAATGAGTTGTGTATTTCTATACTGACAAATTTTACCAATACATATATATTTTACATGTATTGTATCATATTTTTTAAACTTCATTTATGTACATCAATAATCTGTTTATAAACATACAAGTCATATAAATCAATTTACAATGCAATGTAACATCAATATTCTGTTTGTAAACAGCGCTAATATTAAACCTGTCCCTGCTTCAAAATATCTATCCTTTAAACATATACTTGATTTTTGTTTTTAAGTAACTCTTATCAAGCCACAGGGCTAATCCCCATTGTGCCAGGTTGTTTTGGAGATTATCTGATTAACTTGATGGATCTATGAATAGCAAGTGCAAAACACACAGCACAGTCCAATGAGCATGAACAATAACTGTTATTACGAATGCTGCATTGCACGCACATGGCATTCAAGCGATGGCTCTCTCGCATGTACAAAGCACTATAATGATAGTGTGCATGCAGCCTTATGGCAGGCTACAAGTTAAAAGGAAAACTTGTATTTTTCAAACACAACAAGTGCCAATGAGATTTTTGCCTTTATAATGTCAGAAATAAACATATCATGATTATATATTTATATATATATAATGTCAATGGACACAGAAAATATTCAAAATGGTATAAGTAATGGCATATGGCCTGAACATATGCCAAAGCATGGAGATTTTGTGTCATTCACAAGTACAATTTACAGAGCAAACATATTAGACTTAAATAAACTTCTTTTTACATGTACATGATTGATTAGATGGCTAGAATGGCATACTAAAAGTTTTCTGTACTAAATAAAAAATTGTTTTACTTCATTTAAAAAAGAAATCTGTTTAGAGGGATTGTGTATCTTTGCCTCAGATTCTAAACACAATCCTGGGTTTAGCTCATGCTGCAAGCCTGCAATCATAATTCTAAACCTTTAGGTCAGTCAGGAATCACATGACTTTTACCAGCCGATCACCTGTCTGATTATCAAGATAATTATGATGGAATTCTAAATTTCAAAAACCGTTTTCCCAATTTTTCTGGGCTTCAATTTTACACCACATCACAGGCACTGATAACACGTAGGGCCATGTATCTCAGATTTTTAAAACTGGAAACATTGTTAATTATACAAAACAAATGCATGGGAATGTTGATCACACACATGACATTGCAATTATTCACTTGCTCTTTTGATACATCAGCAAATAAGTGGAATCTAGGTACACATCAAAACTTATATAGTCCCATACAGGGATTCATATCATAATAAACATAAGAATTGCATTTCAAATTGCTCAACACTTACATAATATTCTTTTTAAAAGATTCAATATCTACTTACCGGTACAATATTTTCTTTCTCTATATTTGAAACTATTTATACATGAATGCCAGGTTCAGGAATATTTCACTACCAAGTTTGTGATTTATAATCAGGAAAAAAGTAAACAAACACAAGATTAATCACTCCCTTGTAGTAGAATTTGACAAAGTGCAATTCAGCCTTTTCCTTCTAGTTTTCTCATGATATATTTTAGTATTCTGTTCATTCCTGCTAAGATTGCTAATCAGTTTAATATTGAGTAGAGATGTGTGACTCGGGCCAATTTTAAATCCAATTTCAATAATTTACATCATAGTTGGCAGAAAACATCGCAATGTTTCTAACTGCTTTTTAAAGCTACTACATGTATATGTGTATTACAGTAATACTGTAAATAGCAAATCTTAGGTAAAAGGAGTTCCCAGTACAGAAAAAACTTTATTTTTTATTTTCTAGATCTAAATAAATGAATATAAAACAAACCAATGAAAAGAAAGAATAAACATGATTCAATGCAAATAAACATCAAGCATGAAGTTTATATAACGTTATGTGAATGCATCATTTGTCCATATTATTATACCTAATTTCTATATATATCATAATAAATAAGAACTTTCAAATTTACCACCTTGCCTGTGTTTTCTTAAATATAAAAAAGAAATGTACTTCTTGTCTATATTGATCTCTTCCTTCAGTTTTCATTCCTAATGAGAAAATGGAAAAGTATGCACTTCCCTATTTCAGAATTCAATGTAACATACACATAAACAAATGCAAAGCTTCAACTACACACAGCACACTCACTTAAGTAGAAAATAAATTTTGATAAGGCTACTACATTGAAAGACTTTCACAAGTAAGGAAACATTTCTGGTACTTTGTTTACAAGTTTTGATTAAAAAAACAATAAAACTGAAAGACTACGACCAAATTATTGCCAATTAAGTCAGAAAAGTCAAGTCAGGTCACATCGGTGACGAAGGCTGGGGGTGAACAGCTGAGAATTTTGGAGGTAAATATGTTGTAATGAAATTTTCAAAGTAACTTTCTAACAAATAAAAAACGATTGTTTCTTCAGGGAACATTTAAGTTGTTTCAAGCTACATGAATCGATTCTCCGGACCACTATGTTGCAATGTTCAGCTGATCACATAGTCGCGTTCAGGTTGTTTCCGTTGCTTAGCAACACTGTCCCAGAGCCAATCTGCTGTCACCACTTTCAAGGAGGGGAATTTGTCAACATCACTTAAATCCTGTTGTGAGAACAAAAAGACAATAAACAATAAGAAAAAAGAAAGCTGAGAATCCAATTAAATATTCCAAGATTTATAACATTTTAGAAAATCTTATTCCAAAAAACATTGTATTACTGGAAATTTTTCAACATTTTCAAATGGGAGAGTTATCAACATTGTGCGTCACAATCTCATAGAGATCTCATATTTCAAACATTTATAACTTCCTTACTATTGGTCTGAATCATTTCTAACTTTTGCCATTCTGTTTTTTATCATTTTCCTGCTTTCATTCAAATCAACTTATTACAAGGGTTGGATTGCCCTTTAATCATTAATTCAGTTACGTTACGAAAATGGCCTAGTAGCATAACCAGCACCTCACTTCTGCAAGCTTCCCTGAGATCACAATGAAACTTCTTTACGAGCACTCCTTGGCCAGAAGGGATTAGACCTCCCTGCAAGGTCACTGACATGTGATTATCTCATCAAATCAGCTCTCAATTTACATAAGTAAAAGGGGATCCTGGGGGACCAACAGGCACCGATTAGGCATTGTTTGTTATAAAGAGGGCGCAAGTAGCTTATAAGTAGTGCAGTGGGGATTTAAGAACTGATGACTCACCCCATGAAAGCCTTCAGAAACGAGAAGATGGGTCGTCTTGTCCGAGCACTCTTCATGTACATCACCGTTATGAGTATGGTGGAGTTAAGGAGAACATATAAAATAGGATCCAGGTATGACTTCACGTACATGAGGCTTTGGGTGAAGCAGGCAAGAACAGTGATCATTTGTAAGTGTTCCATTCACAGCAGCTTTGCGGTTACAAATCCACAGTCATAGTTCATTATGAATAATTTAAAATATAATCTAATTGTTCAAAATTATGAGGGGTCAAAGGGTAGTAGAATAAATTAATTGATTTTGCATTTTCAAAACAATAAAACAGAAATTTCTTTGAAGTTCGGAAAAGGATATGCAATGATGTATCTACGGAGTTTCTTCCTCTCCTTTTCTCCATCAACGCTCTTGTGGATGCATGCCGAAAGACCGGAAAGAAATTCAGCGAGCCCGCTCTTCTTTTCCGCCTCCTCCTCCTCCTCTTGGTTTCTAGAGGGGTCAGTCTTCTTCTCCTGCTTGGTGCGTTTGTGTGAGCTGCAGCTTGGTTCCGCTGCATCCTCATCATCATCATCTTCATTGCTATGGCTACGGGCAGCATGTGAGGATGGTTTGGTATCTTCATCATCGTCGTCTTGTGGACTGGGTCTCTTTGTTTTACTACCTTTCCTTGGATAATAATAGCTGATTAGTTGAAAAAATAGTGCTTAGTCAAGGAAAGTTACAAGTAATTGGAAGGTATACCATGTAAGTCCAAAAAAGTTTACTCTCAGAAAATTGTCATTTATTCTAAAAGGCAGCTATGAATGAAAGGTTGTCATACATGTTTTGAATCCCGATTAGTTTGGTATCAATTTTGTGTGGTATGTGCTCATGCTTGGATGTACAGGAGGCATTGTTTGCGAGAGTGCACAAAATCGCAAAGAGGTTCAGAGGTGGATAAAATATAAACCTTAGAAATTTCTGTCAACTTTTTTATTATCTGTGTGAGCGAATAGAGAGCAGTGACTTAATCCCTATCCCTAAGAATCCAATCAAATGTTGAAAATTAAAGTGGTACACATGCTATATGAGTTGAAAGACAATACTCCACATTTTAAGAATGAATTTTAGCAGTAACTCAGATTAGTTGCCCAATAATATGCATATGAAAAGGAAAGAAGGAGGAAACAGAAGGGCAAAACGTTTTCTTAGTACATCTCTCCCTTGAAGCTGCCTTAAATCGATACTTCATTTTACTTGTTCAAGATAAACTTGAGTTCTGGTAAAAAAAGAAAATGAATTCTCACAGAATCAAACGAAACTTACACTGAATGTTCAAGATTACAAATAAATGTCATGTGCCAAACAATTTTGGAAGAAAATGTATACTGGCTGAGTAATTAGCATAGAAAGATAAGGAAATCAGGGTAGTACTAGCCCCGACACCATGTGTGTTGTCCCATATACATCTATCTGTGTAAGTGATTGTTACTTTACCAAGACTCTGCCAAATTTATAATGATTTTGATGACTCTAGAACCTTGCATTACACACCATTACTTACATGCTACATGTATATGATCAACTTTTCTGATCCATTCCACACCTTTTCTTTCACAATGCAATTGCATTACCAGTACTCAAGTTTATCTTTAAGATACAGAGGAAACTCATTATAAAGACCTTTTGAAATAACATTGTAATTTTGCTGGTCCTAACTCTTTTTATTTCTTTTGATTTTTACCCTGACAATAAACAAGGTAGTATCATGGTCTCATGTTTCCTTGTTATCACCACTGTAATGTGCTATTTAAGTGTTAGGTGTTAAAGGGATTGGGTATCTTTGTCTCAGATTATAAACAAAATCCTGGATTTAGCTCCTGCTGCAATCCTAATATAAAACTTTAGGTCAGTTAGGAATCCCATGATGTTTACAAGCCGATCACCTGTCTCATTATCAAGATATTTAATTGAAATTTCAAACACTGTTTTCCGAATGGTTTTTATAACACTACAGTCCATCGGGGAAAATTAGTATGGGGCAATTCCACGGTAACGGAAGGACACTCAGACAAGATTTTTGAACTTCAGGTTCATACTAAAAGAAATGTTTTATTAGTATGTATTAAACTATGGGGAACAAAATGTGTTTCAGTCAAGTGGAAAGCTTCATCAACTTCACAAAGTTTGGATAAACACTAATTAACTGGAAAAACCATGTCCATTTTTATGTCCTTCCGTTACCGAGATAATTAATATGCACATTCTTAAACTACTTAACTATAATGACAATTTTTGGGGGAGAATTAAAGGCACTTATATAGGTATTATATCTGTACTGTTTCACATCTTATACTAATAAAACAGTTCTTTTAGTATGAACCTGAAGTTCAAAAATCTTGTCTGAGTGTCCTTCCGTTACCGTGGAATTGCCCTATGGTAAAAACTTGATGATCATTATCTAGAGGAATTTTTTTAGGGCTTCAATATTACACCATATCACAGACACGTAGGGCCACGCATCTCAGATTTAACATTGTTAAACGATGCTTTTAAGTCAAGGATACATAGAAGTTGGTACGCCTCTTGAAGCTAGGTGTTTGCGTATGAGTCTCTCTGTGCCGTACCAGTTGAAGGCCGGGGTAGAGTGACCGATCCTGGGCAGATGAACGGTCCCTAATGAACAGAGATAGAAAGAGAGAGAGAGATAGAGAGAGAGAGAGAGAGTGAGAGATAGAGAGAGACAGAGTGAGAGATAGAGAGAGAGAGATAGAGAGAGAGAGAGAGAGTGAGAGATAGAGAGAGACAGAGTGAGAGAGAGAGAGAGATAGAGAGATAGAAAGAGACAGAGAGAGAGAAAGAGATATGTAGAGAGAGAGTGAGAGATAAGAGAGAGAAAGAGAGAGAGAGATAGAGAGTGAGAGATAGAGAGAAAAATAAAGAGAGATAGAAAGAGATAGAAAGATTGATAATGAGAACATGTCCATATTTTCATTATGATGGGGATAAAAATAGGTAATGAAAGTAGAAATTCATCTTGCAACTTAATGTGAAATTTATAAGATTTGACAGTTCGGCAGAGAACGAAACCCTGGTCGGCCAAACCATTTACAATACAGTACACACCGCGTTGTGGCATGCGCCTGTAATCCAGCTAAAAATTGAAGTTACAAACTCTTTCAGCAGAGGACGCAAGTTCGAAACTGAGTCACATCCTTCGGATGGTGACGTTAAAGGTTGGTCCACAGACTTAAAGAATCATATCTGATTGATACATGTCTGTAAAAACCCAATTACACACACACACACACATACACTGATGTGATTAGAGGTTTTTTTACCATTGCATTTTTTGGCTGCCTTGTAGAGTCTCTGCAAGCCTTTGTCAAGCGCTGTTAGTTTGATGCCGCTCAAATGGTTGTTTTTGTCTCTGTGCTGTGCTACAATCAAGGCAACCTGGACAGATAGAAGACAAAGGTGATAAGAATTAATTTCTTGTAGGCAACAAAGTTTTTCTTTTTTATCATGTGCGAATGAGCAATCTATAAGAATCAATTTCTTGTAGGTAACAAAGTTTTTCTTCTTTTATCAAGTGCGAATGTGCAATCTAATCCAACCCAAATGTATTTCCTATAATGTTTTTTCTTTCTTGCAGATACAAAGAACTGCACATACGGTACTGCAAATGTTTCAGCTATGTACACAATTAAAGATTTCACAAATTTCACCAAAAATAAGGTCTCTACTATAAACTTAGCAATCAACTGAATTTGAGAGATTACTGGCAAAAATTTATGAAAAGTCAAAACAATTGAGATTGAAGAACCTTTATCAGCCCAATATCAACAGTTGTTTCTATGTCATACTATAAACTTAGAGAAATGAGCCAAATTGTATTCCTTGTGAAGAGAATTTATCTTTTTATTTGTCCACATTATCTGATGGGAGTTCAAGCAGCATCTTCCACAAATTGCTGAACTAAAAGCAAACCTTCTAATTATTCAAACTCAGGTCTACCACCAAATTCCCATCCCACCCCAATAAGGAATCCAACAATTTCTGTTTTGACGTACCCAGTCTTTGCCAGCCTCCCTGCTTACAACATCATCAATGGGAACGAGATGGGCATCTCCTAGATTCAGATCTACAAGGTAAACAAAAATCAAAATGTATCAACTAAGGCTGTGCACAACCGTGTAATGAGGTATCCGAGTACACTCCCAGGCTTACAAGCAAATACTCGAATATTCGGACGCCATGTTTTTTTTATAATTTTTTTTTGTTTTTATGTTTTTTTGCCAGCACCATACCACGGGAGCAGTATCCCAGGTCCGTCTCCGAAAAGTCACACAATTTTACTTCGAGTTGCAGTTGAAGGCGCTGATTTAATAATAATAATAACAGTAAACAATGCTGTTTTAAAAACCAAAGATAGCAGAGTAATCCATGTTCCTCCAAGTCCAAACAGAAATCCGGACATTTGGTCCCAGTTTCTGAGTGGTGAGTTTGACAGCTAGGAAATATTTTTATCGACGGTACCATGCCGTGGGCCGGCGCTCTCCCTGGCATGGGTAAGCGTCGGCCTGGACAGTGCCAGGTGACCAGGAATTTTATTATTTTTTTAAAATATTTTTTTGCGGCCGAATATTCAAGTACGAGAAATCGTACTCGAGTAGTTGTCAACAGTGCGAGTACTTGAGTATTCGACTACCAGTCGCAGCCCTAGTATCAACAGTAATCATAATGAGACGCGATGGCTCAGTGGTAGAACAGTGAGTGGTCTCGTAACCAGGAGGTCCTGGGTTCAAAACCAAGTTGATGCATTAATACCCTTTGGTAAGGCATTAAACCTCATTACCAAGTCCATCGGAGAGGACTTAAAGGCGTTGGTCCCCTGGTTGCTTACTTACATCCATACATATGCTTTCTTAGCAGTCAGGTTAAACAAACCATCAAACCAAACCATCAAAAACATTGCAATATTACTCTCTGACATTAGGTTATCGAGAGAGACATGACTTGTGACAAAACCTGGGCCCTGTTTCATAAAACCCACTATCAATAACAAATGCTTAATTTCTGTGACAAATTTGCTCTTAGCCAATCAAATGCCTTGATTTCAGTAACTTATGACAGTTATTGTAACTTGTTATTGATGGTAAGTTTTGTGAAACAGGGACCTGGGTTCATTAGCTATGAAGGCAGATATCCTAGAACGGTGTTTGCATCAAGACGAATGATTAACAAAGGGACTTTGATTGAAAACTTGCCTCACAAAATTGAATTTGTGACAAACATTGATTAACCCATCGCCTATTGGAACCTGGTGGTCCCTGTGTTAAGCCTATGGGAATTAGATAATTCAGTAGCCAACAGGTTAACTTGGTTAATGCCCTTTTCATACAATTATTCACAATCAAGGGAGGGGAAGTGGTTGACCTCTTAGAAAATAGAATTGAGTTCTAATTTTGATTTTTTTTTTTTTTTTTTTTTTTTTTTTTTTTTTTTTTTTTTTTTGGGGGGGGGGGGGGGGGGGGGGGGGACATTTAGGAAAGTATTCTGGTTTAGGAAAATATTCAAACAGCCTAAATGGTTTAAGGAATAAAATCAGTTTCATTTATGGTATGTGTGTAACGGTGTTAACCTTACAAGACGAAACGTTCATACCTCTCATTTTGCCAGCAAGCTCATAAAGGCGTTCCGGTTGTGGAGATCGACGAGCAAGAGCACTGAATAAACCTCCGTGACCCCAACTTCCACTGTCATCTACGCGAGAGAGAAAGAGAGAGAGAGGGAGAGAGTATGAAGAAAATGTGACCTTCCTTCCCATCACCTTCACTAAGGAGGATTTCCCAGTAGATAAATTTAAATGTGCAACGTGATTGTGCCAGTATATCATGGAGACACATGAATTTAAGATGTCCAAATATTCTGACAGTGTTAAAGATGGTTTTGTCATCTTTAAATTATTTAAAATGAGCAAAAACAGCGATGAACATACCAACACAATGCACCACAATGGCATCCTGATCTCCAGTATTGATTGGGTGTGTCACGTCGCCCCTTACGTATCTAAGGGCCACGCCCACATCTTCAGCATCTCCCGATAGATCGACATTCCCATCCTCTGACGCCTCATCATCTTCATCTTCCTCCGTTTCCATGGCAACGTTGGAAGACTCATAGCCCCTGGCTTCCCACATGTCTTTTCTAGAAAGACAGAAATAATAATCTAGCGTAATTAACATGCCACAAAGAACAGGATCACCTCTATATCAAAATCCCAATTATATCCAGTTACAGAGAAATGTTTCTACAATAAAGTTGTATGATACAAAAAAAGCTAACAAGATCAACAAATCAGACTCAAACCCGCCCCCCCCCCTCATTCTGCACACATTGCATCCATTTTTTGTTGCATGAATATATCATTTGATGCCAGGAATTAAAAAAAAAAAAAAATAAGCTTTAAAATCTTTAAATTGGCAACATGTTGAGTAATTCGGAATCTTTGTTTTTCGATCAAAATTGGTAATTTTTCAATTTTTTGACAATATTCTCGCCCATGTAGTAATAATTTGTTTTAATTATTGTTGCTGATTTGAAGAACAATATGTGATCAATTTAACCCTAAAATTCAATCCTGCCCTGACACATATAAAGACTGCTTTTCTTGTCTCCCTTGAGGTCTTTATACTCAAGGGTCAATGTAACAGACATAACATAAAGGGGAGCTCACAGTCTTCGTCTTCTCTCTTCTGCTCTCTGCATCTCTGCTTCCTCCATCAACTTTGCTCTCTTAGCAGCGTTCTCCTCTCTCTGAAATAAAAAGAAATCCAGTGGTTGACAGCATAAAAAGGTGTCATGGTCGAGTGGGATATGTCACAGGACTGTGAATCACAAGGTCTGTGGTTCAAGTCCCGCAGCCGCACTAATGTCCTTTGACAAGACATTGATCTCATTTGCCACTCTCCACCCAGGTGTTAAATGGGTACCTGGTAGGATGTGAAAGCGAACATGGTTTGCTCAGCATTGTGAGCGTCTGTAAAATGGTGCCTGGCTGGAATGCTCCCCAAGAAGTGAAAAATGTGCATACATTGTCTGCGGGCAAGCCTGAATCCAATAACCGGGGTAATAATACATCTGTAAAGCCTTTAGAGACATCCTCGATGTATTAAGCGCTATATAAATTTGAAATATTACTCATATTATACAGCATTGATGATATGACACTGTCAAGGGTCAGCATTTCAGATTCAAGTACCATAAGATTTTGGAGTATTTAGTAAAGGAATATGGGATTAAATTTTAAGTAATTTAAGACAGACCCAAAACTAACTCAATGTTGTCAAGGTATATCAAATGTAAGCAAACGTTTCTTATTAAATAATTGTTTAATGAAAAAAAAAGCAAATAGAAAAGGATTTTTTATTGAATTTTTCTTTGCAAGTTTTTGTTGTTTTTGACTAAAATATCCTGTATGCCTTTTCTATAATATTAAAATCTGAATTGCAAACATGTAACTTCCTAGATTACCACTTCAGCACATTTTTGGATTCATTTAAATTATTTTTCTTAGCAACTCTATTCAAATGCATGACTGTCTTGTAAAGCCTTAGATAAGTGTAGCATATTTCTATCACATCATACATGGTTTTTCCAATCTCATACTGATGAATTACTTTAGCTATTCCTACCTTCTTCTTCCTCTCTGCCTTCTCTTCCTCTGTCAGTTGTTTTCTCTTCCGGGCCACCGTAGGTAACACCGACATCATCTCCAACGAGTCTCCCCTCTGGCCGCGACCCTTTCTCATCGTCCGCGACCCACCAGCCTCTTCCTCAATCAATGCTATTTGGGCTACAGGATCAACAAACATGGATAAAATCAATCAGTCATTACTGGAAATTTTGACAGTCTTGGCAATGGAAAAGACAGGAACTGCTGGTAAACACTATGTGCACCATGTTAAGATTAGAAAAAAGGGAACACACTCAAATTTTTGCATAGGGCGTCACCTCGCTGGCCACAAATTCCTTCTTTTAAGACTTGGATCAGAGCTTTTTGAGCTATAAAACAAACACGGCTGAAAATTCTTTTATCATTACAGGAATTTATGTTTTATTTAAAGTAGTCATGAACTTTCTTCGGGCATCTACTATAAGAGGATTTTCAATTAAATTCGGCAACATAAAAGACGCAGTCTGCCCGTAAAAACTCACTAACTGACTGTGCAAAAAGCTAGGATGGAAAATAAGCAAATTATCTAAATTACTGGACGTTGTGTTTCCTCTCTGGCTGTGATTTGTTTGACACTAAATATGGCTCACCAGCCGCTGTTTCCTTGATTAGAGCTATTTCTCTTGGTCACATTGGAGGGAACCTTACCTGACATCATTTCATCAAATGCTTTCTTGTCTGCTGCACTTGTCTCCTTGGAATAGTCTTTCCCTTCAAACATGTACATGTGACCTGGGGAAGCACAAGAATTTGTCAATGTTTTAAAAAAAGATTACAATACCTCTACAACTACTATAACTAACCATAATCATAATCAACAAGAAGATAGAGAGGAGGAGGAAGAGGAGGAAGAGGAAGAGGAAGAGGAAGACAAAGAAGAAGAAGAAAAAGGAGGAGAAGTAGAAGGAGAAGGAGGAGAAGGGGAAGGTGAAGGAGAAGAAGACAAAGAAGAAGAAGGAGAAAAAGGAGAAGACGAAGAAGCAGTATAATCATAAAACGACTAGTATTTGGGCATTTGTTGTACTGGTGAAAGTATGGGGTAGCATTGAATTTTTTTTTTTTAATTCCTGTTCTTCTATCTTGAGGTGACCTTCAACGTTAGGGCCATGGAACAACCAGGAAAACTGAACAAAAGCACGATTCTATGAGTAAAAATTTCAGACACGGTACCTTTCTCTTCATCTGAGCCCTCATCATCTTCCATCTTCTCCTCCTCCTTGTCTTCTTCATCCTTCCTTTCATCCACCATCCACTCTCCTCCCGCGCTAGCTCCAAGGATCTCCTCGAGGTCCAAGTCCTTGACGGAACTCTCCTCAGACTGGAGAATCTTGTCCAGACCAAACTTCAGCATGTCCGCCAGCTGGTTGAATCGAAGAGATGAAATTTATTTGACATTGTTTCATTTTCTTACAGCATTTATAGTTCAATTTCAAACACAATTTCCTTTATATAGCATACAGTATTCATAATATACTGTATTAACAGTTGGGTTGAGAGAATAAATCGTGCATCTGGATGCTATTATACAAACATTTATTTATACAATGATCACTAAAAAATTGGACTCCCTAACTTGGCAGGACAATGATGTCATATTTGAGTATAGTCAGATAGCCTATACCAGTAAGCAGCAAATTGACAACACTTCATAACTAGTACTCTAAGAATGTTTACATGTTTTACCTGAGTAGCATTGCCAGCGAGACCACTGTTGCTCGTTCCTAGAGAGAATTTGCCGCCCTCTATGACATCGTTGGTGAGTTTCAGCTTCTCGTCTGCCCTCTGTAAGATAAGCTCCTCAACCGAGTCACGACCAATCAGACGGATGATCTTTACAGGCCTACAAATCAATCAACCAATCAAAAGATATTTGATACAGTGCCTTTTCCTTGTGGTTACAAAGCGCTTGTTACAAAGCAATGCACACACCACTCCACAGTGTTTGGGCAACTTATAAACAAAAGCTAGTCACTTCTCAGAGATCAGTTAAGTACATGTTTATGTAGGCTAGTAATAAAGTCATTTTTAGCAGAATTGATGTGACTTTAGTAATTTCTTGAAGTGGTCAACAGATGAGGCCTTCTGCACAGCAGTAGGTAGCTGGTTCCACGATTTTGCAGCAACCAAAAAGAATATTGATAGGGTTTCTTGTAAATTAATCATTTTTTCTTTCTTCCTCTCTTTCTTGAGTAATCCACACAAATACAAGCACTACTTTGTAGTGGATTTCTTGATTTTTCTTTAAAATTGTAATTAATTTATAAAAAATATTATGCCTATATATTTTTAATCTCAAAAATGCGTTTATTGCTTATCAACGTTTAATGTTGGATAATTACAGTTTAATTTTCTGGGTTATGATGCAAATGCCATTTGATATTAATTTTAAGTAAGTATTCTTTTATGGAGCTCTCACACTCTGCCGTGTAGGCCTACCGTCCACCTGCCGGGCTATTAAAAAACAACAGAGTCCAGAACGTTGGGTTTTGAGCGAACTTGTCCCCGGCCGCAAAAAAAAAATTCATAAAATTAATCTTTTCACCGTTTCGTTGCCATCTTCTGACCGTTCTCACCGGGCGCATACCGGGTGTTGAACGTGCTTCTACCGTCTTCACCGCCCAGATTGACTTTTGTTGAAAATTTTGGCCGTTTCCATACCGGGTCTCGAACGTGTGCACCGGGTTTGTAGCAGCCACCTACCAGTCACTTAGCGTCCCCTCACCGCTCGGAGCGTCCTGTGAGCGAGTCCCCGGACTGCTGACGTCATGACACGACTGCCATAAATACCCCGATTTGAACGGCAACGTTCACAACCCGCTTACAACCCGTTGCAGACGGTGGATTTTTTTTTTGCCCGTTCATCACCGTTCTGTAACGGGTTATGAGCGTGTTGTGAACGTGTTCATACAGTGTGACCGTTTTCATAACGTATTCATACCGTCCTCATACCATTCAACACCGTCCTCTTGCCGCTTACTTGCGGCCGGTGCCAGCCGGCCAAAGTTTTGAACATGCCCAAAACTTTCGCCGGGTCCCACCGGGTGTAAATAAGCGCCAACGCCCTATTAACGTGTTGCCCGCTTTGATAACGAACCACCGTGTGCCCTCGCCGTTCTCCACCGTCCGCAGACATTTTCGCGCACGGTGGCACACGGTAGGCCTACACGGCAGAGTGTGAGAGTCACTTTATGTTTTGATTAAGTTTTGGAAATAAATTTATTTGAACTGAATTAAAATGAATTGAATAACAATATTTCAAGGTATAAGAATAACTCTAGATTCTCTTTTGGGACTCAGAATTTTTCAATTACAAAACTTCCAACCTTAAAGTAATATTATAGTAATCATAAGCAAATGCCTGGATGCATTTTATGTGTTCAGAAACTTGAGATGATGAACTCTATTTCTTGTAAATTGGTTTTAATTATTTTAAGAACTGATGTTATGGTATTAGAATAACTACAATAAAAGAATAATTCCAGATTCTCAAGAGGTGTTCAGAAGTCTTAGATTATAGAATCAGAATTTGAAACGAGATCAAGATGAACATCGTTTTCATCATTTATTTTTAAATTACTCCATCAAGTAACCCTGATGATCTTCGTGATCTTAGCAGAACTTACCTCGTCTGACCAATCCTGTGAGCCCTGGCAGCCGCCTGAAGGTCATTTTGAGGGTTGTAGTCGCTATCTACGAAGATGACCGTATCCGCCCCGACCAGGTTTAACCCTTGACCTCCAGCCTTGGTGCTGAGGAGGAACACAAAGGTGTCGTCTCGCTGGTTGAAGTTCTTGACCGCCAGGTAACGCTCTTCTCCACGGACGGAACCGTCCAGACGCTCATACTCATAACCTGATGAGGGAAGTTATGATACAGATGTATTCAATTTGAATAGGTACTCATGTTCTTCTTCTCGGATCACTACATGACACCTGTCCAGAATGGGAAGAAACGTAAACTAAAGCATGGGAATCCTTTTTGATCTTAGAGATTAGGGTTCTTGTAGTTAGAGACATCTCTGTCTTATAATAATAATATTAAGAAGAATAGGTCCATTTATACAGCGCAGTCACTTTTTGAATATGCTCTACTGCGCTATAAACAAAGTATCATATTATGTCATGACTCATTAATATCATATTTTATATATATATATATATATATATATATATATATATATATATATATATATATATATAGCCAAATTAATGAACCACATACAAATACTGTGATGAATAACTCTTTTCAAGATTATACGACCATATCATATCAACGTGGACTTGTCGCCTGACCCCTACCTCTGAAACCCAGGTAGTCCTGCAGGATGTCCAGCATGCGGGTCATCTGCGAGAAGAGAAGAACCTTGTGACCCTGTTGCCATAGAGACATCAATAGCTTGTCCAGGAGATGGAGTTTTCCGGAGCAGTCAACCAGATGCTCTCCGAGCTCAAAAGGTTCAGGCTCCACACCTAGATAACATATATTTAAAAGAAAAGAATTTTTTTAATTAACACATTAAGTATACAGTACTACATAAGCTAAATATATCAAAGTGTAAATTTTAATGCTGCATAGAATGATCTATGGCGGTTTTATAAAATACTTTGTAGAGAAATAAAATGAAATGCATGTTACGGCTTATCAAATCAATCATGGATTACAAAAAAGAAAGGTACTTACCATCAAAGATATAGGGATGGTTGACACACTTGCGTAGCTGCATCAGAGTATTCATCAGACTTGTCCTGGTACGAGGCATTCCGACCATGTCGACATTTTGCTCAAAAGCAGCTAAAAAATAGGGAACAGAATGAGTTATAAGCATTAATATATATCAAAGGGGGCCTGTAATAAATCTAATGTTGTTTCTGAATTTTTCTGATTGTTGTTGTTCTTTGCACCCCCCCCCCCCCCCCCCAAAAGAACAACAAAAAGCAGAATAGATACTAGATAGGTTATAGATTTTTTAAAGATTCAAATTTTGGGAGCGATTATTTCACGCTCAGTCCTTATCATAATTGAAATTATTTCATTACATATGCAATTCTAAATGCAAACTGTTTACAGCTACAATTTTATGCACCTGATCTACTTCTTTCTTGGCTGTTTCATCTCATATGTACTTTATCCCAACCCATTTCAATTTAATTCATTTCACATAGTTCTGATGCCATAACAGACAAAATGATGAAGAACTAGTCTGAGTTTTACCATGGTCCTTTGTGAGAATGGCTTTGTAGAGTTTCTTCTGTAGTGCTGTCAATCCATGGAAAAGAATGACCTGCAGAATACGGAGGAAAAAAAATTGTTTTTAATATTGAAAAATATATGCACTGTGACAGGAAAAAACACACTTTGTCAGCAATGAAACAATGAAATTAACAACTGGGGGTCAAAAACTCTTCTCATGCAATATGTGTTACAATTTGCTGATATCAATCATATTTTGTTCATTTGTTCATTTACAGACCAGCAACTATAATATATTATTTATGAATGAACTGTTTATCAACATAACGGATGATGCATATCCATAAATGAATCATTTGTAGGGGTTTAATTTCACCTTCTAATTGATCCAGGGGGGGGGGGGTGTTTCACAAAGAGTTGAACTTATCTCTAAGTTGGACTTATCTCCAAGTTGGACTTAACAATTATGGAAAGCCGTAAGCATCTTTGAAAATGTTTTGTATAAGTTATTTTAGAAGGCATAAAATGTTTATTCAAATCATTTATATTATCATCAAGTCCTTGATATGGAAGTTATGAAAAGTCTAAAATACTTTTTGCCTTTTAATATTTTTTATTTTAAGGCTACAAACGGCTCTCCATAATGTTTAAGTCCAACTTTTAGTTAAGTTCGACTTAGGATCTTTGTGAAACTTTTTCTTACCTCAGTCTTCTTGGGCAGATCAAGGACCACTTCATTTTTTGTACGCCTCAATAGGAATGGCAGGAGCATGGAGTGCAGCTCATCTTTCACTGAAACAAAGAAGAAACAAAATCAACTTCAACTACATTAAAGCCTGTCTGCACTAGTTTGGCCAGGGGGGGGGGGGTTAGACTTCCCTGCAAGGTCACTGACAGGTAGTTATCTCATCAAATCAGCTCTCAATTAACATAAGAAAAAGGAGATCATGGGTGACCAATGGGCACCGCTTAGGCATTGTTTTCTATATAGAGGGAGCAAGTAAGTACAAGAAGTACAGCGGGGCTTTAAATGAAAAATATCTATGTCAGGAAGTCCAATGAGGACATTTAGTAAATCTGGATTTTGTAATAATCTCAATAATATACATTTTCATTGACAGTTTTAGACAAGGTTGATATCTTTCTCTGGCAGACAAACTTTAGAATAATGTCAACAACACAAAAATATCAATCATCATCTTAGCTAGAAATTTCCATCTAAATCAATTCATTTTTGCAGCACTAGATTGTATCCACCTCATGAGCACAGTACTGAAGTAAATCAGAGTGAGGTAGATATAAAGGACTTGAATTCAACTCAAACTAATCTAACGCTATTCAAATGTACAGGAACTAAATAATCATCTGAATTGCACACACAAACATAAATCAAATTAAATTGAATTAGAGGAAAATAGCTTTTACCAAAGAAAAAAAAGGAGTGCAATCAATTACTCGAAAACAAATTTGGAGTCGAACTACCACATACCATGATCATCACTCATATCCTCATAGGTCTCTACAAACTTGTCCGCAAGACTGGGTCTGAAGACACGTGGGGCGACGAAAGAGAGGAGAGCGAAGAGTTCTCGAAGGTTGTTCTGGATTGGTGTTCCAGTCAAGAGGACTATGTGTCTGATATCAAGCTGTAAGAAAATGAGGAAAGAAAGAAAATATTTAGTCAAACCTGCTTTAGTGACCACCTGTATAAAAGGCCTCCTGTCTGTAAAGACCACATTTTTGGTTTCCCGTTAGCAGAATTTCCCAATAAAGCCTATTTGCATTAGTTTGGCCAGGAGGGATTAGACTTCCCTGCGTGGTCACTGGCAGATTATCAGCTCTCAATGAACATAAGAAAAAGGGAATCATGGGGGACCAATGGGTACCGCTTAGGCAATGTTGGCTATATAGCAGGCGCAAGTAGATTCAAGTAGTGCAGTCCTGCTTTAAAGGAACATGTACATAAAGACCAACTGCTCATAAAGACCGCTTTTCCTGTCTCCCGGTCTTTATATACAGGTTTCACATTACCATATCAATGGCTGGTCTCGTGCTACACCAATCTACCATATTGGTCAGTGGTGTAGCAGAAGTCTACAGCCATTGAAAGGGGGGGGGGGGGGGGAATGAGCGGGGTCTTCATTTGAAAATGAAATGTGAATTTACGATCCTACAATTAGGGGTATGGTGTGAAAAAGGGTCTTATCACCATCTTTTCTTCTCCTGTTCTCACTCTCCCTTTTCAGCAACAACAAAATAGTTTCTTCAGTGGCAACCCTGCTATTTAAAATAAACCATAAAACAGACTAAGTCCTAGATGCTGCTTGTAAGTGTCGGCTTGCATGGTGATGTAGATATACAGTAGGCTTGGGGTGCACCATGTGAGAGAGAGAGAGGATTGAGGAGTCCTGAAAAGGACTCTCTGTAATCTTTCTTGAGGGTGTGTATTCCTGAAAAGGACTGTTTGTGTAGTCTTGAAAAAGACTGTTGGTTATCTTTCTTAGCTTACATTTCTAAGGAGAACTATAGCACTTGGAGAGGATGAGTGGCGGGAGTGGCTCAACGTTTCGAACAGGTCGACTATCCGTCATGCTTATATGTGTCCATAAAGGACGTTTTTACATAAATACATGACAGCAAAAGAGGTGTGTCTTTCAATGGTAGTCATAGCAATGACCCCTGACCCTTGTTCTTACCTCTTTTAGAGACTGATGTAGGAGTGAGTTCTGGTTCTTCAGTCGGTGAGCTTCATCCACAATCAAAGCTGACCAGGAAAACTTTTGGAAAAAGGATTCATCCTTCAGACAAATCTAGGGAGAAAAAACAGATGACAATTTATCAATTTACTCCCTTTTAAGTTCACAAATCACCAAAAGATATTTTGCTCTTTATTTAGGGGGTTACATGTTCCTATAATATATTCATTTATTATTAATAGCAGTGTGCGACAAGTATTGAATCCAGTAACCGGGGCGGTAGTATATCTGTAAAGCGCTTAGAGACATTGTAGATGTAGTAAAAAGCGCTATGCAAAAGCGGAATATTATTATTATTACTGCATTCCTTCTTACCTCATAAGTTGTCAAAATGACATTGACATTTTCCATGGAACGAAGTTCATGCCTGAGTTCCCCTCGATATTCCTTGTCTCCAGTGTAGGAGACTACCTTCAAATGAGGGGCGAACCTATTAAAAGAAAACAAAAAACAACAACAGGTGGTTGGATATCACAGTGCCCTGTTCTTATCATATTCAACATCAGGATCTTAGTCACAGACAGTACAGAATTTGTTAACCTACATAGAATATTATTTGAGAAGCAGTCACTCCATGATTTACCTGCTAAGTTTCAGACAAGGTGGACAAATTTTTGGATTAGTTATCTTTAGTCTGATACCTTGAGATCTCAATCAAAGCCTGGAATTGTATCAGTGTTCAGGAGTGGAAAAGAAAAATTACAATTTGAGCCTCATGCAAATCAAAGGAAAACAGCAACAAGAAACTTTTACATCATCATACCTTCATACAGTGCTTGACCCTAATACACAACCGGACAGATAGATGCCCAACTTCTATCTCAGACCCCTATAATTTCAAGATTTAAACATGGGGTTAATGCAGGAAAACCCTGAAACCCAGTCTGGATCCCTAATGAAAAGAAATTAGTATGGACCCACTATGAAAAGAAATTAGTATGGACCCACTATGAAAAGAAATTAGTATGGACCCCTATGAAAATAAATTAGTATCGACCCACTATGAAAAGAAATTGGGATGGACCCACTATGAAAAGAAATTGGTATGAACCCACTATGAAAAGAAATTAGTATGGACCCCTATGGAAATAAATTAGTATGGACCCACTATGAAAAGAAATTGGTATGAACCCACTATGAAAAGAAGTTAGTATGGACCCACTATGAAAAGAAATTGGTATGGACCCACTATGAAAAGAAGTTAGTATGGACCCACTGTGAAAAGAAATTGGTATGGACCCACTATCAAAAGAAATTGGTATGAACCCACTATCAAAAGAATTTGGTATGGACCCCTATGAAAAGAAATAGGTATGGACTCACTATCAAAAGAAATTGGTATGGACCTCTGTCTCAATCATCTTTTCTTGTGTGAAGGAGGAGGAGGGAGGGAGGGGGCGGTAATTTGACTAAAGTACGTTTACTGCATCAGAACGTACCTCTTCAATTCATCTTGCCAGTTTCCCATCACAGAGAGAGGGCTCACTACTAACGCTGGATCTTCACTGCATTCCAGTTCAGATCCAAGAATGTAAACAAGCAGTGAGATAGTCTAGAAAGGATTTTAAAAAGTTTTTACGTTAAAAAAACAGTGTGTTAATTACCCAGTAGTCACAATTTCGACATGCAAATATAACACTCCACCGACACACACAAATCTTTTTTTTTTATGTTTACTTAAGTTAAAGAGACAAACTGATTGCAGATTTTCATAATGTTTACTCAGATTATTCATAAATATTCATAATCAAGTCCCCTGTATCTTCAACAAAAATTAAAAGGAATTCAAATTAATACACATATTCTGAGATATTCACGTTCTAAAGGAAACCGTCTATCGCAGATTCAAAAATATAATATTATGGGGATTAAATGAGGCAAATCAAACAGAACAGAAATAAAATAAAAATCAAATAGAAGGAGGTGCAAATTATTTACATGTCTTCACTACTTTACTCATATTTGAAATCAGAGGTACAACCGGAAAAAGGCATGTCGTTCAATTTGATATCATTTTGGTTTACAGGTTTATTCATTTTTCAATTGGTCCTGAAATGTTCTTATTGATATTTATATCTTAGATGTAGTGAGCTAAAGTTTGACAATACCTGGCACGTTTTCCCTAGCCCCATCTCATCTCCCAGAATGCATCCATGCTTCCTGTGAAAACGCTGAATCATCCAGTTTGCTCCTTCCAACTGATACGGGCGTAGAGTGATGTCTGCAAAATTATAACAATAAATAATAATGAAAGATTTTTCGGACGTACGAACGGACAGACAACCAGAAAAAATAATGCCAACAGCTACTTGTAGCGGAGGAATACTAAAATGTAGATTAGAGACAGATCTAGATCCATCATAATATGAACAAATATCACTTCAAGTTTCTCATCGATCATCCCTCCCCTCTTTTTTTTTTGACCTGCTTTTCTTTTCTTTTTTCTTACTTAACTTTTTTGCTTCAATGTTTTTTGACATTGACAGTGATTGATAAATTGATTGTGATAATTCTAATAGGGTGTCTGGACGATTTTTCAATTTTCACTTTCGGATCGTTTGTCACCATTATTGTTGGATATTTAGAAAAATCATTGACTCATAACTACCCATTCTAAATTTCAAGACTAACCGATGTTTCTATCAAAAGATACAGCCCCCTCAAATCTATTCAATATTCATACGATTTTGATCAGAATGGTCGAAAAAGATGTTACACGCAGAGTTGCAAATTGTGCTCAACAGCTGAGCAGCTCGAGCAGCAATCTGCGTAGCGCTATATGCATAGCGTACGCCTGTTGCTTAGCTGCGGCGCTTATTGAGCGCGATCGTTAAACTCCTCCTCCTTCGTCTTCAGTGTGCATCCGCATACGCGTCCGTTCTCCAGATGACCCGTGACATTTCACATGATGTCATCGCTCCCTCGTGCGCATGCGCTGCATTTCTGGCTGGGCGATGATGACGTGATCTCAGCTGAGCCAAGCTTGGCAGCAGCTGGCGATCGCGCGCTGAGTCATCACGTCAGCTCAGCTGGGGGGGATTCCCAAGCTCAGGTGCGTATTCATAACAATCTCTTTGTTGCATGAATTAATTGTTGCGAAAAATACTTTGGTATTTCCTTACACCGCCTGATCCTTAATGATATTAGATTCAGATCAAAATACAATCGTGCTGTTGTAGCTATAGGTACACAACTGCTAGTGCAGTGCAATGCATGCAGTGACTGAGTGAGCTTGAGTGTACGGTGATTTCGTCAATGCACTAGCTTCAATGGGCTGGTATAATCATGATGCATTGATCGCTGGCTGTCTGCCGTCTGGCTTGACACTGCCAACATGATTTTAATTATTTTGTACTCATTTGTTCATCGGATCACATCACTCTTTTTTGCTTGATTCCCCCTTCCCTTTCACTTTTTTGTTACCATGACCTCGATCTCTTTCACTTATCTAATGATAAAAACAAACAAGTTGTTGTGCTTTATTATATTTTTTAAATTTCAATTTCTATCATTCTTTTCTGTTTTGACTATCGATTGCATTATTTAATGTAGCCTTTAATTCCCACTCTCTTTTCTTACCCTTGCATGTTGCATGATTTGTGCTTTGAAATTATATCCGCTCATTACCACTCCCTAATATCTATTTTGTCTCTCATTTTCCCCATCTTCAGCTAACATTTGTACGCACCATTTTATTACTTGCTCGTAATTCTATTGTTCGCTCTCTGACTCAAACATTGTCCAATTTTGTTGTATTATTATCTTTTTATTTTATTGTTCTCTTTTTCATATCAATGTCGTGTTTTGTCCTGCCTAGTCTCTTTCGATCTCTCCCTCTCTCTCTCCCTAAATCTAGATTTCAGTAGTTTTCCCCTCCTCGCTCTCTAGTTCTCCTATTTATGTACAAAAGAAAGGCTTGTATTCATTATTTGTGTGTTATTCCACCAACAATCACAGGTTGATTTTTTAATTTACAATTATTTACAACTGTTTGTCTGACACAGACAATACTCTGCAGTCTGTATGCAGGTATGAGAAAATATGCAATCATCTTAAGATCATCATTCAAAAAGTGAAGGATACATGTAGCTGAATATCTACAGTAATTTGCATGCAAAAATAATTCAAGCAATGTATATCTAGACCAAGTTACGTTCTATCGTTAAGTGGCAATGTTTATACAAAAAAATTGAATAATCTATCGGTACATTTCAAATGTAGATAATAGATATATGATTACAGTAATTTACTACAACGGTGCATCTTCCAAAACTGCACCGTCATACTTCATCTCCAAGTAGGGGCGAAAAACCCAACAGCCTAAATCAATAGTTTGGAAAATTCCCCTACGGCCCACGTTTGCGATCATAAGTCGCAATTGAAATATATGTGCAACCAAGCAAAATGCTCTTGGATCTGGCCTATTTCATAAGGATGTGATATGCTTTTTATCATACCCCTTTTCATTTTTTAAACAATTTAAAATAATTTCAAGAAGTCAGAATCTATTTAGCCAAAAAATATGTGTACCAAGTATGCCCTTTTTCTTTGAAAAATTGTATTTCATTTCATTCTTCAGATGATAACAGTTACATGTATCAGAAAAAAAATGATGTAAACACAGGCTCACAATAATAATGTGCTCTCCCCCCCCCCCCCCCTTTCACCAATATTATATAAGTATGCCCTTTTCTTTGTAAGATTCAGATGATAACAGTTACATGTATAAGACAAAATGATGTAAACACAGGCTCACAATGATAATGTGCTCTTTAACTACCCCCCCCCCCCCCCCACTTATTCAGCGGCTGGCTGAGTTGTTGTGAAAAATCCTGCGTATGCTACTGGTCCAACTAATAATTGAAAATATTGAAAACTTAAATAAATTAAAGAAATTTAATTTTAAATTGGTATTAATTAAATCTATCAAATCAAATTTTCTGACATAGTATAAAAACAATATAAAATCATGATTAAAAATATTGAAATCTTAAATATTACAGAAGAACTTTAATTTTAGATGGGTATTAATTAAATCAATCATAATTAAAGATATTGAAAACTTGAATATTACATAAGAGCTTTAATTTTAAATGTGTATTAAATCAATCAAATTTTCTGACATAGTATAAAAACATAATATAAAATCCAAATTAAAAGTATTGAAATCTTAAATATTACAGAAGAACTGTAATTTTAAATGGGTATTAATTAAATCAATCAAATTGTCTGACATAGTATAAAAACAAAATATAAAATCATAATTAAAGATATTGAAAACTTGAATGTTACATAAGAGCTTTAATTTTAAATGTGTATTAATTAAATCAATCAAATTTTCTGACATAGTATAAAAACATAATATAAAATCCAAATTAAAAGTATTGAAATCTTAAATATTACAGAAGAACTTTAATTTTAAATGGGTATTAATTAAATAAATCAATTTGTCTGACATAGTATAAAAACAAAATATAAAATCATAATTAAAGATATTGAAAACTTGAATATTACATAAGAGCTTTAATTTGAAATGTGTATTAAATCAATCAAATTTTCTGACATAGTATAAAAACATAATATAAAATCAAAATTAAAGATATTGAAAACTTAAATATTACAGAAGAACTTTAATTTTAAATGGGTATTAATTAAATCAATCAAATTTTCTGACATGGTATGAAAACAATACCGGTATATAAAATCATAATTAAAGATATTGACAACTTAAATATTACATAATTTTCTGACATAGTATAAAAACAAAATATAAAATCATGATCATTTGATGGAGTAATCAGTTCTTCACAGGCTCCTTCCTAGGACAGGAAACGTCCGGTGATCACTTCAGCAATCTGCAGCATCACAAACAGTTCTGATGGTCGTACTGAGAGCTGCAGCAGTGCAAGGATCAGTTCATGAAGCAACCGGGTCCACTACCTCTGTCTGCCATTATAAGTCTCGAGTATTTATTCTCTCCCAGTATCCAGTCATGACATGACATGCCATGCAGATTGATATGGAAGAAAAAGAATCAATAAAGAAATTATTAGAAAAGTAAATTTCAGATATTATTTAAGATTCCACTGCATTGCATGTGGTACGTGTAGCATTAATACTATTGGTGCATGGCACACTGCAGTTTCAATAGCATTCATGAAATTTAATAATTCTTTTAGTTACAAATTTGGTAGCCAAATATCCTCAACAGAGGCCACAAAACACTCCCTCTACATAGGCCATGTATACTGGAACTCCCGTCTCAGATACTGACCTTGAGTAAAGAGAGAGATGTAGCCCTGTACTAGGTATTATAAATTTAATTAATAACACTATAATGAGTTGCAATTTAGAAGCGAAATATCCCCAAGAGGGGCCACAAAACACTCTCTCTACATAGGCCATGTATACTGGAACTCCCGTCTCAGATACCGACCTTGAGTAAAGAGAGAGATGTACCCCTGTACTAGGTATTATAAATTTAATTAATAACGAGTTGCAATTTAGAAGCGAAATACAAATATGGACAAGTCAAAGCAATTAAGCTTAGATAAAGTTACCTCCATTATACTATATACATTATACTACCAAGGAAGTTAACCACATTTTTGCATATATAATTAAGTATTTTGCATATTAAATGAGCTATGACCGGAAAGGACGGATGGATGGATGAAAGGTAGTCGGACGGACGGACGGAAGAACGGACGGAAGGCAGTACGGAAGTACGGACGGACGGACACAATTAGAACAGACGGAAGGCAGTACGGACGGAAGAACGGACGGAAGGCAGTACGGAAGTAAGTACGGACGGACGGACACAATTAGAACAGACGGAAGGCAGGACGGACGGACGGACACAATTAGAACAGACGGAAGGCAGTACGGAAGTACGGACGGACGGACACAATTAGAACAGACGGAAGGCAGTACGGACGGAAGAACGGACGGAAGGCAGTACGGAAGTAAGTACGGACGGACGGACACAATTAGAACAGACGGAAGGCAGTACGGAAGTACGGACGGACGGACACAATTAGAACAGACGGAAGGCAGTACGGAAGTACGGACGGACGGACACAATTAGAACAGACGGAAGGCAGTACGGAAGTACGGACGGACGGACACAATTAGAACAGACGGAAGGCAGTACGGACGGAAGAACGGACGGACACAATTAGAACAGACGGAAGGCAGTACGGACGGAAGAACGGACGGACG